TATATATATATATATATATATATATATATATATATATATATATATGTACCGATCTTCTGAGGAAGAGCAATCCAATTTCCACCGGTGCCGTACTTGTCGATGTACGCCTTGAGCTTTGCATCTTCTTCCGGGCACCATGGCCCTTTCTTCACATTAGCTTTGTCGCAGCACGGAGCTCTTCCCATCTTATATTTTTTTATTTTTAATATTTCCGATTTCCGAAATTCCGATTTTCTGATGAGAAAATGTCAGAAGAGAAGACCTGGTTTTATAAGGTATGAAGATAATGATGTGATACTTGAAGAAACCAAAAAAAAGTCTTCTAGCCCTATTAGGGTTTCTACATGCCACCCCACCCACCCCCACCCCACCCCCCACCTTTCTTTCATGCATTTGGATTAGTTAAGTCATAATATAGAATTAAATTTTTATTTGTGTAGTAAACTACATGACAAAGAACTAACACAAATTTCTATGGAAATTGTATACTTTATGTTAAATCATTTGCTTTTTGGGATTAATTTAATGGTGTGGAGGAAATGTTAGAGAGCAAAAATCAAGAAAGAAGCATTTATATCCTCTTGTTTTGTCGACAACCCCTTGGGGAATTTTTGTGTTATATAATTGTAATTAATTAGTACCAAACAGATTACTTAATTTGTGTAAGAGAAAATAATTATAATCTATCACATTTCAACTTTTTTCATGCGGTAATAAGCATAAAATAGTTATTTATTTGTTATTAATATTAATCAAGGGTTTATTTAATTGGACAAATCAAATCAAAATTAGTACTTTTGAAGGAAAAGAAGATCAGTTTTTCGAAGTGATAGACTAATTTCAATAAATGTTCTAGAAATTTTCGGAAAAAAATCTGAAATTGGAGTTGAGGAAATTGAAAAGAAAAAAAAAAGAAACTTGTTTCAAAATCGAAAATTTTCGGATTTATAACAATATTGATATTATAAGTGTTTTTTTTTTTCTGAAATGAATCGCAATTTCCGCAAAATACTTTAGGTAACAAAAATCGGAATCTAATGTGAATAACTGGCAACATTTTCGTTACTGGCAGCATTTTAAGATGAAATCTAATGTAAGATAAATAACGATATTTCATCTCAAAATGCTGCCAGTAATTATTGAAGCCTCACGACACGATTTTTCTTTCGAAAACCAAACACGTTTTGTGATGTAAGATTATTTGATTGAGAAGTTGCACTCGCATTTCGCACTGCAGAAAACAAGGCCAAATTTACATTAAATTACTCCTTTACCTTTTTCTACTTGTCTTCCCGTAATTAATTTTTAAACAAAAAAAATTAACAGTATATTATATATATATATATTTGAATTTTAATTTTTTTTTTTTTTGTGATTTTGCTGCTCTAAGATTTGTGTCTCATTTGAATCTGTCAACAGCAAGAAATTTCGACGTTGGCCAGAAAGGACCAATAATTTTAATTTACTTTACCGTTAAGAATTGTTATTTATTTATTTATTTATTTATTATTTTTATTATTAGAAGAAGCCAAAAGTTAAAACGAGTCATGTCAATCCCATAGCATATCCTCGTTGCCTTCGTGTTTCTTCCAAAACTTATAATTTCATTATAAATTTGAGTCGATATTTATTTAATTTTGGAATTAAAATTTCATTCTCTCCAACTTGCCTACCTACAATAATTATATGATAATTTGTCTGCCGGTTTGAGCAATTAGTGCGATTGTGTCAATTGACCTAAATTCGAATTATATTGCTAATGGTCCCTAGGTCGAACTTGTCACATATGATTAACTTAGTGTGGTCCACATTTCTCATATCCTCTCGAATTTGCAAATTCCCTAGCAAAATCATTATCCCCTCGGATAGTCTTTTGTTTTTTTTTTAATTTTATAATTTCTTTATAAATCTCTCTCTTTTTCACACACTAGTTTGATTTTTTTTTTAATTGTTTTGCGCTGCCTAATTTAACTTTTTTTGACGTTATTTTGATAATTTCAATTTTACAACTAATTATTTTAATATCGTGTAATTAATTTATTAATACAACTTAATTATCATATATTTAATTTTTCTTTATTTTTGCAAAATGTTATTCGTGCATCGCACGAGGAGAATTGCTAGTTATTAAACTAATATAATAACAAGTTAGTAATATGTAGCCCACATTGGTATAGCTCAACTGGTTCCGGGGTGGTAAGTTGGTAAAAGTGAGTAGTAATATGTAATCTTATATCAAAATATAAATTAAATTCAAAATAAAGCACTTGATATTTCTTTTTGCTACAATTTTTTTTTTACTTTTTACTAGTCACTGACAATTCCATATCATATGCAATTACTCATCATGGCTGAATTAAAAACTAATCAAATTAAAGTGTGTATTCACAATTAAATTAAGCTAATTAATTAAAGTATAGGCATAATTGGATTTAGCTAATTAAGTTTTAACTGAGAATTTTGTCACATTAGTATATTTGCATGCAAAAAGAAAAAGAGTATGCAACCTTCTATTAATTTAAACAATACAAATAAATAAATAAATAAATACAGAAAATTGTTGTTGATTATGGCTAAGCATTAATCCTGCTGGCATAATTAGTAATTACTATTGTTGCTTTAAGACACCCTAAAAGTTAACAAGTGGCTAAGGTTTTAATGTTTTTTTTTAATTATATCAAGAATTTGAACAAACACAAGAGTTAGGGCAAAAAAGAATTGTTTATTAAAACATTTAAATATATATATCCAAAACCTTTATTTGAGGGGGAGCCCCATTGGTTGACCTTGGTTCCCTACCTACATTTTATAATTATTTTATTTTAAATAAAATATTTGTATATAAATATAATAAGAAAAACAAGATGGTCCGGAGCCGCACTCAGGCAGAAATTACAAGAGGAAAAATGTCAAAAGATGGTTTATACCATTAATTAATTATATATGACTCAGATCTTTAGGAGGGAAAAAAACTCGCTTCTGTTTGTCTTTCTCTCAATCCTAGAATCTCTCTCTCTCTCTCTCTCTCTCTCTCTCTCTCTCTCTCTCTCTCTCTCTCTCTCTCTCTCTCTCTCTCTCTCTCTCTCTCTCTCTCTCTCTCTCTCTCTCTCTCTCTCTCTCTCTCTCCATTGACACTGAAATTGCATGCATCAGCAAAGAAGACCAATAACCTTATTTAGGGTATGACTTTTCTTTGTTAGGAGAGCTGGTGAAATAATTTAATTTCTTCATATATATATATATATAACAAGATAAACATAATTAATTATTGGGTCATCAATTAATTAATATATAACTCAAAAAAAAATTAATATAGCTTCATAATAAATATTAATTACATAATTGACTAATTATAATATTGATAAATAATATAAAAATTGATCGACTGAAGAAACTATTGATATATATCCAAGCCATAAAAAAGAAAAAGAAAAATCGTTCACCTCCTTCCATAAGAATTTGTTTGAAACTATACTGCATGTCAAGTGTCAATCAATTCTTATTTTTTCATATATATATATATATATATATATATATATATATATATATATATATATATATATATATATATATATATATATATATATATATATATATATATATATATATATATATATATATATATATA